ATTTTGTTTATAAAGTGTGCTCATTTCCTTAATATTTCTCTCTTGGGAATAAAATATTGAAAATATGAAATTCTTATCACATGGCTAGAATCTGACAATTATTCAAACCAGCTGCCTGTTTGTGAGGTGTAGCAATATTTATTGCTGTGATTCACTAGCACATCAGGAAAAAAAAGGACAAGTGAAAATGCTATGAATAAATAAAATCTGAGAAATACTTAGTCATAGTGGGTGGACAGTGGGGATCTGTTTTAAAACTCCAAACTATATTTAATTTTTATTAAAATAAGTGACTCAGTTTCTGATACATCTAAAATTATAATTATAAGCTATCCAAAATTAAATAATAGAACATTTTCCCATGTATTGATGCACAAAAACTTTCCTTCTATAAGTACAAGAAAGGGATGTGTATCATGTCTCTGTTTTCCTGCAAAATTTCTGCAGATCTCCAATTATATACCTCTGCCTAGAGGCAGGTGGCTGTATTCAAGGGGAAAGAGAGACCTATTTCAGCCATACTTCATACATTTCATGTCCGTTCTGTTTCTTTTCTGAAGAAGTAGTACACAAAATCACTCTGTGTAATTTCAGCATCAAGAGTAAGAGCCACAGTTTGACCAGGCATTGATTACTTGGAAAGATTTGTCATCATCTGTAGTTAAGTCTCATTTCTGAGTTAGTGTATTGAACGTTGTAACTAAAACCTTCCTCCTTTCTAGCCTCATTCCAGCAGCAAATGTCCTTAGAAGGGAAGAATGTTATGAGTCGCATCAAAAGTTTAACAAATGATTCATTACTGCATGAAAAATAGCGTGATTTAAGTTTGCCAGTGGAGTTGTTCATTGTATTCACAGAATACAATGCAAAAATATTCTAAAGTGCAAACCAAATCCTTTTTTGATAACAGTCCATTGCAAGTTCTTGGACATCACTAAAGCTAATTAAAAGCAGGTGGATTCTTCTCATGTAGTATACCAGCCAACTGAATGAAATGTAGATAACTTGTAGTAATTCTTGGAGAACTTTTTTTCCCCATGGACCTTACTGGAATGCTAGGATTCTCTAAAGCTCTGATCCTGAACAGACAAAGAATCGTATTTTAACAATAATACCCATATTTTTTTGTTTATAAAACCTGAATTTTAGTTGGCACTGTAGAGAAGGCCCTGAAGGAAACTAAATTTTTGAAACCTGATCTCTGTGTGAAAGTCACTGTGAAAGTCTGGTATAAAGATTTGAAAGGTTTCATTTAGAAACTTAAATCTAGAAAGTTAAGTTCTATGATTTATATTTTATTTTAGTTTAGTTTTAGCTTTGGTTTTTTTCTTAATTTTTAATTGTGGTGTAATGTTTTGCAAGACTCGGTTTATCTTTCAGAAAAGTAAAAGCAAGTGACTAAATGAGACAGTTGTATTGCAGAACATGAGCTGGATTTACTGTGTTCCCTTTATGAACTAAATGTTTGGCTCAGTCTTGTGATTTATTACTAATTAGATAGTTATCTTTAGTTTCTAAGAGTTTGTTTTATGTGGGTTAATGATAATGGTTTCTGTCTACATGCTCAGTACCATACAGAAGGAGACCCAGAGGCAGAGAGTGGGAGACCATGTGCTGCTGAGTTGTGATGCATTTTCCTGGGGTTGCCAGGAAAGTTCAGGCTGCCTTCTGTTTCTGGGCAGAATAAATAAAAGACTGGAAAAACAAATTGGCACTGTGAAAATTTTTCAAAAACAAAACTACTTGTATCTAAGCCAGATGAGAGTTCTGAAGTACATGTATCTTTACAAATCAGGCTATGCAGAACAGTCCAAATATAACTTATATCTAATGTCATTGTAATGGACCTCAAAGCTGGTCTTTCCGTAACACAGCATGTAACCAAATGACCCAACATGAAATGGAATTTATGATGTTAGTCTTTCCAAGCCCAGCCAATTTTGATTTTGGGACTTCATTTTTTCTTGACACAAGTTCTGTGCAGTCTCAGAAGGTCAGTAAAAGAACAGAATGAAATAATAGAACACTTCAAACATCTACATTTCCTAGTTTAGATATTCAGAACTTTAAAAAAAATTTCTAGTTTAGTCACCAGCTGAGCCCCTTATAGGTTCAGAAAATCTGATGAGGCAAATTCAAACATTTTGCGGTCTTTCGTCAGGTCACTGATTAAATGTGTTGCTAAGATGTTAGTGAAGAGTTGGTAGAGAAATATTTAATGTCATACACAGGATTTTTAGACTGAGAATTTGAAGGAAGATCTTGTGAGAAATGGAGTTTCTTAGTTGATGGCAATAGCTGTATGAATGTTGGTGCATATATAATATGTATATTAAATATCCAATGATCCAATATATATATATATATATATAATTTTTGTCATAAACATAGGCTTCCATGTGCTTTCAGATGCTTGGGTGTATTGATCATGATTGATCTCAAGTTGCCACTTGCAGGTTATACTGACTGGTTCTGGGTGAGAAGTGATGTTGCTGCGCAAGTCTATTCAGTGACAATATAGTGTAATACAGATCTGAGCTGCTCAGTTCTCTGACAGTGGGCCAACAAATGCCTTCAAAATATTTACATGTTTATTGATCGATTTTAGCAATAACTTGAAAAAATCTCCAAATCTTATAATAGCATTTGAGTTTTTTTAATTTTCTTACATTAGTAATTTTCTGTTTCATTATGTGTCTGTGTTATGTGTTGTCTTTTGCACCTAAGCTTGAGATTTTACGTATTAGATGTATGCTGGGGCAAAGCACTTACTGTTCATACACAATGAGAAATGTGAAGAGGAAGACAAGTTAAAATAGTCTCATGTAACAGACTGTTGTAAAACTTTACAAAAGTAAAAATTTGATTCACAAAAAAAGGCATAAAACTACTTTTGAAAAGTGTTTTATTTCTATCTTTATTGCAAGTTACATTTCTTATTTTGAAGTGGAATTTTTGTGGACTAAAGAAATATAATCTGTTGTAAATGTTACTTTAAAAGACTCATTTCTCAAGGAGTTGGAATTAGACTTTTTTACAGAGGCAAATATTTCTTCTGTGCATTGCATAATCATTAGATCTGTTAAAAAAAAACAATTTCTTGAGCTTGTAAGACAAGTTGCATTTCTTTTGTATATTGGAAGGTTTTTAAGTTGTAGCATCCTCAGAATGAGTGCATCTTCATATTCTAATGCCTCTGAAATAGCTGGGAAAGTACACTGTTGAAAAATCAGTAAACCAGAGAGACCTGCTTGTGACATCCACGGTAGTTTAACATGAAGAGGAAGAATAGCCAACTTTTTCAATAGCTTGCGTGCAGGACCAGTTTGCATGTGTACTTGGAGGTGGTCATTGATAGGCCAGGCATGGCTTTATGACTGAATTTCTACTACGCAGAGGTTGCAACAGGAAAACGTTATTGGACTAGTCTGTTTTGGGGTTAAAGGGGTGGGGTTTTTGTTTGTCTCCACTGTAGAAAGTTGAATGCTTTGTATCTGTCAGTCATCATTCTTCTGTACGTCCCTACTATAGCAGCCACTGTAAAGTGACTGTATTGTCCTCTAATCTACTGGAACAATTTTTAACATGCCCTTTGCTTTATCAGCATTTTCGCTGACTGGGAAGCCTAACAAGTACCTTGACCTGTGGTAATTTAGAATCTGCTAGTGAAGTGTGGGCATTTATTGGTATTACAATTTTCAAGTTGAAGCCAAAATTCATTTGTTGACATAATTCTTGAGCGTGCTTTTATTTACTAAAGAAGAAACTATATACTGAGATTAAATTGTAATCTTTATTTACTGTGATGATGGGAAATGCAAATGAAGCAGAGAATTTGGTGATGAGTATTTTACAGAGGAGTAATTTCTATAATTATATGTTTTTAACCAGTGGGATTGTCATGTTCTGTTAACCAGATTCTTTCCTGACTTCTTGTAGGATTCTGAGTAACAACAAGATCTTATGGTTGAAGAATGGCTCTTTCTTTGGACTAAGATCCCTGGAGAGACTGTGAGTAACTGATCAGCCTCATTCCACCTTCAATTAAAAAGTCTGTGTATTTAAAATATAAACCCAAACATCAGATAATGAAGTTGAGATGTTCTGAACTGTATTGCATAGTAGAGTTTCTGGGCAGTCATCAAGTTAAGAAACAGCATAAAAATGAGTGAAGGGGGATGGATGTGGAAAATACAGGAAAGCACTGCCATCAATTTGGAACTAAAATAAACATCCAGTCAAAGACTTGTACTACACTGTGTACACTATCACGGTGAAGACTGGTATATGTAATGGTAACACTAATATACCTGACATGTAGTTTAGGTTATTTAACTCATTGGTTTCCAATACTTCCATTTTAATACTATTCTGATTTTAATTCTATTCTATATTTTAATTATATTCTGGAGAAATTGAACAGCATTTATTACTGTAGCAGACAATGACATTGCTAAAGCTCCATGGCCAATATTTGAAGTGGGGAAGAGGAGTTCAGGAGCAGCTAATGCATTAGAGGAGGAAATATTTGGAAACTTCAATAGAGTAAATAGACAGTATCAGCTATACTGCAGTAACACTGGGGTCTGCATATATAGGTCACTTATTTGAGAATAATCGTGAGCAAGTCTAAAAGGCTGTTTTTTATATCCATATAAAACTTATTTTGCCAGTGCATCTAAAATGAGTAATTATATCATTCATATCTTACAATACCTCCTGCAGTTTAAGCTAAATTATGTTTATATTGCTTTGTGATAATGCCTTCAATATGTAGAGCTGTTGTTGTAAAGAAGTTGCTACATTCATGAAGGCATGAATATATAAGAATGCATGAATGTATTCTACATTGAATGAATATTACCATTTGTAAAAAATTGCATATTAAAATCAACTTTAGCTAATATTTTACTATTTGTGAGATATGCATTCTGTTTATGATTGTGTAATAAAGTGGGTAAGTATATGATACTGAGTGTCCTGGGTTCAGCAGTAGCAGTCAGTGTATGGAACGCTTCAGGAATTTGTGGTCATCCTTGTGCAGGGACCATGCTAATCTTCTCTGTATCATTCCAATTTTAGTATATGTGCTGCCAAACCAAGCACGCATCACCTCCTCCTCTGGTGACATTCCGAAATCTTTGCCCTCTGGCCAGTCCATGATGACTTCTAGAATGCCTGGATGACTGAGATTTCCTATTTGAGTTCTTTGTGTAATTAGTGCAGCCCATTTACTCAACATTCAGTTGCATGATGTGTACGGTATGGAATAAGGGGTGGATAATGACTCCTGATCAGATGGTGGACCGGGTGGCGAATACATTGTGTGAGCAAATTAAACGCGAGATAGTTCACGCAGTAGCCCTTGGACCTGTCCGGACCGGGCCAGATGTAAAAAATGTGCTGTACACTGCAGCTGGGGAGAACGGTCCTACCTGGAGCCTCTGGCAGAAAGCTCCAGGGGAGACTCAAGGTCGACCCCTCGGCTTTTGGAGTCAGGGATACAAAGGATCTGAGGCCAGCTATACCCCAACTGAGAAAGAGATACTGGCTGGAAACATACGCTGTGCCCCATGCCACTGCCCGGAACACTATCCTGGGCCTTGAGAAACAGAAGCCAAGCAGCTGGGATCACTTGCTGGAGAAGGGGGAATTGACTGCTACTGCTGAACCCAGGACACTGAGATATTTGAATTTATAATGCAATTTAAAAACAAACAATGTATTTCAAGGTCTGGAACAATCTCTTAAGCACCTGGAAGGGTTAGGATAAAGCTAACTCTGAACAGTTATGAAAAGGAATCCTACATTTTCTCTGCATTTAGATAATATTGGCAGTGATACAAAGTATGGAATGAAGAATAGTTGTGTATTATTTACTAACTGGTTTAATCTTGGGTATAATAATGATATGAGGTTTATAAAAAAGTTTACAAATATTTTAGAGAAAGCAATTTAGCATAGGAGATAGGATTACAAATTTATTACAAGAAGGGAAATTAGTACATTAAATTCTGATGTACTGCATGTAAATCATCAGTGTTTAGAAACAGAGGGAAACATTTCCTCTGGGTTTTCTTTTTTTAAGATTTAATTTACACTGGGGAATGAGCGCATACTTTAAGAACTTCTAGTTATCTAGTTAATCTTCAACTGAAAAGACATGGCAAACAGTATTGAGAAGAGTGAGAAAACAAAAAAAATGCCTCATGGGTGTAGCCTGAGGTATCATCACCATCTAAACCTTCTTAATTTTATTGTTTTGAATTTTCACAACATTACAGATAAAATGAGTGAATATAATCTGTTCTGTATGTAATGCTGTTTGGCCATGGCACTAATATAAAATCTGTAAGTGGTCCTTGAAGCAAAGACTAGAATTCAGGCAGTGACAATCTCATCAGATTCAGATGCTCTGTTTCTTGTTGTCTGGTGCAATACGCTTATTTTCAATATATGTGAAGTCTGAATTTCAGTTGTGGGGGTTTACAACAGCTGGAATAGTCTACCAGGAGGTGAGTGTGAATGAACTATATATGGATGAGTGCACTTAACCCTTGGACAAAGGTTTCCCTAGCTTTGCCTTATCATCATGAAGCACCAAAATTTACCAATAAGAACTTTTGTTTCTTTTCTGAAAGGAAGTGTAGAGAATCCTATGAAGTACAGTAACAGGAGAATGCAGCTTCCATTAAGATAACAATAAGTTTACAACATTAGGTGCTTAGCATGCAGGATTACTCATTTAATTTGGCTTTGCACTCCTTGTGGTCCCATTGAGAATGAAAAATTAGTAATGTGTATGCCATAGAGGCAAGAATCATGTGTGTCTGTGATTCTTTTGCAGTTACCATGAGTTCGTGAGCCAGAAGAGCGTTAGCTTACATGGAAAGTGAAATCATTCATTGTCAGGCTTGAAAATTTCAGAGGAGAAGAAAAATTTCAGGTGGAACTGAAGTGACTTGTAAATTCTGTCACTTTACTCTCTTGGAATGCTCAAAAGCTCTTTTTGAGCAAGGAACAGTTTGAAGCCATACTCCAATATGCTAGTGCCACCTTTCTCCTTACATTGTTTTTCAATGCATGTCACAACAGGAATTAGATTACAGATGTTTGAATACTCCCAGGTTCTGGTGATTTCTCAACAGCATGTTACACGAGCAAGAGACCTCACCGAGCAGTTGCTTCGAACAAGGACTCCTCATTTTATGCAAATTTAATCAAGCAAACTGAGAGATACAAGTTGTTTGCATCGTGACTGTCCATTTTAAGAGTAAGACAGAATCGATTTCTCTAAAACAAAGACTACAGTAGAACCCTTTTATCATATAATGTATAATATAGTGCATTATATATATTATATATATAATATAGTGCAATATATATAGTATATATATAAAATGCATCTTTTTTCAAAACGTAGTTGGACCTGATTTGTCTTTATTTCTGCAGAATTCTCAGAAAATTACTTTTTTTTTTCAGCCATAGTGTAAGTTTTGCAAGGTTTCTCTTTCAGATTGCCTTAAATTCTGTTACTGCTATAAAAGGAAATATGATACTAATTTTTTGGGGGTACAACCAGCCAGCCAGGAAAAAAGATATCTGGGGATACAATTATTTCCCTTTTAGTAATAGACAGACAATCCTATATTTGCTAATACTGTATTAATAATGAAACATATAATTCTGTCATAAAACCTATATAAATAATAGTGATCAAAATAAATACATTTATGAAATTTTAGTGGTTTTACTAGGCAGTTTGTAAAAGTGCTTTGGAAAACACTGCCTCGCAAAAGGTGCTTTTTCTTTATTTTGTATGTGTGTGAACATTACCTCATGAGTGTTCTATAGAGATGGAAATCTCTTGCTCCCTACTTTGAGTTTTCTGAAACTAGGAATTGTTGCCTTTTTCTGTTTTGGAAAGACTGAGTCACAAATGTGTTACAGCATCTGGATCATAGTGCATCTTTGTGCCACCGGGCTTACTTTATAGTACTAACAAGAGGCATTAAGAAGGCAGTGTAATTTGCAAGAATAAAATATTCTGTAAACTTAGGTTTTGTGTGGTGCTTGGTTATATAGAACTTGATTTGGAATAAAACAAAAATGTAGGTAAGAAAATAAACTTTTTCGAAGCAAGTGTGGTAGGGAAACTTGGCTAAAATATGAAGAGGTGTGTGGCAGTTCACCAGAAAAGTTCTACAGACTATAAATTCTAGATTACAGTGAGCACCTTCTGAGATACACTGTGTGGAGATGGCTCCACATTCAGGAGGCTGAGAGTTCAGTTTGGATCTGCAGCTTCAGGTAAAGACTTCGCAGCTTGCAGTGGTTTCAGTTCCACTGTTTTTCCTTTTTGTAGTCGCTGTCCTGTCTTACTGGGAGGTGTATTGACCTGAGCAAGACAGCATCAGTTACTGTAGACATTTAAATAAGCTTTTCATATGCTCTGGGTACCATAAAAGAAAGGCAAAGTGGGGTTTCAAAGTGGTGAAATAGTGAGGTAGTCCTTTCAACTAAGTCTCTGCAATCCAAAAGCTCACATTTAATTAAAAAAGTTTGGAGGATCTGAACAACTCTAAAATTGACTGTATATAATTTGATAGTATAGTTTTCCCATAAATTGGAACAGTACATTAAATAGAAAATCTGTGACTTAGTTTACTTTTTTAAATTATTATTTATTTGTTTGTTTTTAACTTATGGGCAGTGGGGCTAGCCATTGCTATTACCCAAGGAATCATAGGCTGATAACTAAATTACCAGAAGATAACTTACCATGGCAGTATATGGTCTGGACCCATTTTCAAAGACATTGCAGTCTCTGGATAGTGTGCAGCAAAGTAGTATCATTGCTAACAGTTGTGACAAATCTTTTTGTGCTTGAGAATGTTTGGTCAGCCATGGTCGACATGACGCTTCTGGGGTCAAGGACTGATGTTGTTCGGCCAGGTACGTCAGCTGTGCTGGATCTGAACTTAAGATCTGTTCTAGGAAATGAATCTCATCCTGATGTCAGCTGGCAAAATCAGTATGTGTCTGAGCTATTATCCACGCTACTAGTTTTCTTACCTTCTACAGCAACTGTTCCATCACAGTTGCTTATGATGCAACAATAACCCCTGTCTTGCACTAACTCTCTATGTTGTCTCTAGCTGGAGGCAACCTGTTTTGGCTTCTTCACTGTTGTCTTCCTTGTTCTTAATGAGGTTGATAATTTACTTGGAATTTTCTGAAGTGGATACATGACATTTCTGTTTCTCTCTTTCACAACCAAATATACTTTTTCATTAAGATTATAGGAGCATAATTACTTTTGAGACTGCTGTCCCTGTGGCTGAAACTCTTAAATGAATTCAGAAGCTACTGGGAGGGTAACAGCAAATAAAAATAAACATACACAAACAGACCGTGACTGCATAAGCAGTGTTTCCTTGGGAAATCAGGATGGAAGGGCATTAAGCAAGATTACACATATTTTTAACAGTTGACCCAGAAGGAAAGCATGCAAGAGACTAATAATTTGACAGTGACTGTTTTACAGAAAATTGCTGTCATGTTTTCACAGTATTCCTAGACATGTTTCTATTTGCAGTATTCCTAGACATGTTTCTAGATAAAGGAAAATAATACTGCAGTGTTTGTAAGAATTTAGCGTGGAATGTATTTTTAATTTTTTTTTTAGCTGTATAGATTATTCTTACTTAATTACCTTAAATTGTGTGTACTTTTATTAAATGTTGCTGTATTGTTAAGTTCCCAACTGTGTGGCAGCGCCATGCAGTCACATGTTGTCCTCATTATTAGATAAGATTGCATAAAAGATACTTTCAGTAGGTTTCAGTATGACATTCTGCAACTATATATTGTGCTGTGCAATTGAAGTAATAACACATTAACTTGAGGGAATGAAAGGGCTGGAAAGACAACCACAACAAATTAGGCCATAGAAGAAACATGTTAAACAGCTGGTATAAAAATATGGTATTTAGATGTTCTTTAGCAAAACTCAAGTGATGAAAGGGGAAAATATAAAGGGTTTACATTCTGATATACTGGTGTGTTTCTTTAAACATGCAATTTACATTCTCTAAATTGCCGGT